CTCGCTCTTGCTCAGGCTGGTTTCGAACTCCTGAGCTCAAATAATCCGCCCACCTCGGCCTCCCAGAGTGCTAGGATTACAGGCGTGAGCCACGGCGCCCAGCCTCACTTCCACATTTTAGTGGTGGTTGTTGGGTTTTTTTTGTTTGTTTTGTTTTGTTTTTGTAAGATGGCGTTAATGTTATTCACCCACCTCTCAGAGGTGTCACAGTGATTCAAATGAGATAATATAGGTGAAAACGGTTTTAATAGTGCTCAGAAAATGGATTGCTTCTTATCAGGATTATTATAGAAACTCACCATAGATGATAGCTCAGTGATGCTCTAAATATAATAGCTTTCCCGGCCGGGCACAGTGGCTCATGCCTGTAATCCTAGCACTCTGGGAGGCCGAGGCAGGAGGATGGCTTGAGGTCAGGAGTTCGAGACCAAGCTCAGCAACTGCAAGACTCCCCCCCGCCCCCCCCCCGTCTCTACTAAAAATAGAAAGAAATTAGCCAGACAACTAAAAGCAGAAAAAATTAGCCAGATGTGGTGGTGCGGGCCTGTAGTCCCAGCTACTCGGGAGGCTGAGGCAGGATTGCTTAAGCCCAGGAGTTTGAGGTTGCTGTGAGCTAGGCCGACGCCACGGCACTCTAGCCCGGGCAACAGAGCAAGACTCTGTCTCAAAAAGGAAAAGAAAAAAAATAGCTTTCCCTCCAAAGCCTGAGCTCCCTGCACCTGAACACACATTATTTTCAGTGGCGTGAAGGGAAATAGCCAAAGTTACACCTGCGGCCTGAACCGGGGAGCAGGTGGCCTCAACTGTCTACCAAAACCTTTGAAACTCATCCAGCTACTTCTAAAAATCTATTTTATTTTAAGGAAAAAGAAAGCTGAGATATTTAAATTCTTAGTCGTGGTCTTGTTATTTTTTTTTCACCATGCACAGGGCTGTCTTTTGAGGGTGATTTTGGGGACAAGCCCACTCAATGCTTTAAAAAGACTTCTGGCGAGGTGCATTGGCTGGCACCTATAAACCCAGCACTTTGGGAGGCCATGGCAGGAGGATCACTTGAGACCAGGAGTTCAAGACCAGCCTGGGCAACATATTGAGACCCTATCTCTACAAAAAAAAAAAAAATGTTTTTTAATTAGCCAGGGATGTGGTGGTGCCCTAATTATACTAGCTTTCCCTCCAAAGCCTGAGCTCTGCTATAGCCAGCCACCTGTAGTCCCAGCTCCTCGAGAGGCTGAGGCAGAAGATCACTTGAGCCCAGGAGTTCTGGGCTACAGTGAGCTATGAACATACCATGGCACTCCAGCCTGGGCAACAGTGTGAGACTCTGTCTGTAAAAATAAATACATAAATAAAAACTCTCCTTACCTGGAGGTATCATATAAACTCTATCCACGTGTTGGAGCATTATACTCTCGGCCTTAAGGTTCTAGAGTCTGCGATGGTCACACCTGGGACCTCACCCAGCTTCCTCATTTTAGAGATGGGAGACCGAGGCCTAGAGGCTGCCCAGCGACACACAATGGGATCTCAGCTGACCTTTGACTTCTGAGGTTTACCATCTTTCTCCCATGCTGTGGGGAGCTGGGTGTTCCTTCTGGAAAGCAAAGAGAGCTAGAAAGCACTTCTTCTAAATATCAGATTTTTTTATTCCTGTTAAGATGTGGAGAGTCCCATCCCCTGCCACAGGTAATACTTTAATCTGTTACCAGTCACTTGAGGAAAGTCAGGCGTGGGGCAGGGGGACAGGCAGGGCTCAGCCAGAGATGGGAGGACAAGAGGATCTAAGAGTGTTGCTCTGGGCTGACCCCAGTACCCTCAGCCGGAAGTCCTCCTCATAGAAACTTTACTGGCAGAAACTTCCCCAAACTGACACCCTCATGGAGGCAGGGCACCTCGCTGGGCAGAGCTGTCATGGTCTGCTTGCTCTGAAAGGCTGACTCCTGCCAGCCTGGCCCTCCTGCCAGCCCTTGTGGGTGGCCGGGCTTCTGGGCTGCAGGGGGTGGGATCTCTGCCAAGCCCTGGGCCAACAGACTCCCATTTGCTGCCATGCAGCCCAGGTCGCTGGGGAGCCTGGCGGGCTCCGGAGGAGTCTCTGCCTTCCCTCCTGCCCGGCTCCCCACCCCTTCTGCTGCTGGCTCCTCTCCTGGGCCCGGGGCGGTGGTGCCCTGTCCTCACCTGCAGAACTTGTTCTTGCTGGAAGCCTGGGTGAGCCAAGCACTCACTTCTGTAACTGAATATTTATCCCCGATTAGGGCTTTGTTCCTTTGGCTGTGGAAACCCTGGGAACTCCTGGGCCGGATCACTCAACTTTCTCTCTCTCCCTCACTCTGCACCTCTCTTTTTTGAGTGTACCCCTTTCTCTCTCCTCCTCTCTCTGCCTCACACGACAACAGGTAAGAAAGCAGCCCACCAGGGAGCAGGGTGTCTACGGTGCTCCTCAGGCGTCAGCTCTGCTCCCTGGCTGGCAGCCACTTTGCACTTGCCTCTCCCGAGATGGAGTGGGCTGCTCGCCACAGATCCTCCTACCCTCCCAGTCGCTGCAGCCCCCGTCCCCCATGATTGACATGCCCTCGTTTCCAAAAGGAAAGTGAGAAACCACTCCCATCTTCCCTTGCTGCGACCCCATCTCGTGGGATCCTCTCTGCTCCCCAAAGAAGGAGCAGGGCAGGTATGATGGGGGTACAGAGACAAGGGGCTCGGCCAAGGCCAGACAGCCACAGGACGCAGATCAGTGCCCCAGCCCTTGCACCTAGGAATTGGCCAGCCTCTCCTAGAGAGGCCTCTTGATCCCTGCCCAGTACCCCCAGGTGACTTCTCCTGGCCCCGGAGATGCCGCTAGATTCATTCCGCCTGCAGAGACAAGGCTTGTCCAGAAACCAAGAGACACTTAGCCTGGCAGTACAAGTCAAGCAAAGACTATGACGGAGGTTAAAAATCATATTTCCTAATTCCTTTTGTCATTCTTGCCTGGAAGTATGGATTTTAATTCAATTCTGGCTTACTTCTAATTTAATTTTACCATGAACACCATCTGTTTAGGATTAGCACTTTGCATCGTACAATGAGGGTCAGCTTGACTTGTGGCTCCTCCGGGAGGGTAGCACAGCCTAACTGGGACACGGCTGCCAGCTCTGGAGAGATGGGTTGTCTCGCTGTTCTCCCCCCACCTCCCATGCCCCCTCCTGTGTTCCTTCTGGAGCTAATACCAATATCTACTCTTAAGGATGTTGTGAAGATCACGTTGCACCATCTAACAACAGAGTAGAATTAACATGGTGCCAGGCACGTGGTAAGCACCCAAATATTTATTAGTTGCTATCATTACCTTTTTTATCCTTCCCCCCTCCCCATTCCTTTCATTTTCTCCCTTCCTACTATTTCTTCCTTCCGTCCTTTCCACTCCTTAGATACCCGTGCTCCTTGCTGTCTCTGTGTTCCCCACACCATGACATTTCTCTGTCTGGATAAGGTGAGGTGTTCCTGTTCTCCAAGCCTGGTTGCCGTGTCCTTTGGCTTCCTAGAGCCGGCACCAGGCAGAAGGGTACCTCTTAAACTGACATCTTTGTGCCCTGTGAGCTGAGCCATGATGGGGACACAAGAGGCCTAAAGGAGAGAAGGAAGGTGAGACAAGTCCGGTGGCAGAAGGACAGCAGGGCAGAGGGAGCGTGTGTATCAGTGTCCCCAGGTGGGGGCAGTGCCTGCTTCAAGTCCTTGGGGCTCCCCTAAATACCAGTGCCCAAGGTAGAGTGCGTGAGACACTGACATCTCGGAAAAGCACTTTATGCACTTTTGAGTGCTGTGTGTACGTGGTAGCCTTGTCCCAAGCTGTCTGTCCCTGCACCAGGCCCTCATAGCCGGAAGTTTTGACTAACGAGAGTATCATGGTCGGAAATCTTTGTTTCTCACAGTTTTAAAAGAGATTCTTCAGGGGTTTCAACCCGTGGCATCTGTCCCTCTGCCTGACCTAGCTGCTTTAGTGTCTGGGCCTCAAGTTCCAAGCCTCAAGTTCCGTATCTTATTTTAAATTATTTATTTATTTATTCATTTATTTATTTATTTACTTACTTACTTATTTATTAGAGACAGGGTCTTACTATGTTGCCCAGGACGGGCTTGAACTCTTAGCCTCAAGTGATCCTCCTGCCTTGGCCTCCCAAGTAGCTGGGCCTACAGGTGTGTGCCACCGCGCCTGGTTCCTTTTCTCGGTTTTAGAACCCAATTTTTCTTCTACAAAATGTTCTCATGTTCCCCTTTCTCTAGTGCAGCAATTCCCGAGTCATTTTCTGCCCAGAAAATACCTGGCGATGGCCACGCAGCCTCTGGGGCCCTTCCCTAAGGTGACCCACTTCGGCTCCCCAAGTGCCAGCATGGGGAACTCACTCTGGGCTCTGAGCTGGCTCTGGGGGCAGCCACGCCCCTCATCTCCCCCTGCAGCTCCCCCTCGCCCTGGCAAGCTGTGTGGGCCCCCTTCGGAGTCTCGGCTTCCATGCCCAATCCCTGCCCAGCCTGCTCCTTCTAGCTTTTCCTTCCCAAAGGGCGGATCTAATCATGTCTCTCCAGCCCTCAGGAGGAAGTCCAAGTTCTTTAACCTGGCTGACAGTGCCCCTGAGAATCTAGGCCTTGCCCACCTTACCTCTTCCCTTCCCCAGTGATCTGGCTGGTTCCTACTTATTCTTCAAGATCCAGGCCAGACGTCACCACCTCCAGCAAGCCTTCCTTGACTGAACCCCTGCCCACCCCAGTCAGTTTCTTTATCTGCCTCCCTGCTGGGCTGTGTATCTCATACACAGCTCTGAGTTGGTGCTCAACTGTTTGTACGCAGCAGCAATGTCACAGAACCAAGCCCCACCCTCAGGAGACCCTTCCTGTCCTGTGGCCCTGGCTTTTGCAGGAAGCACCTCTTGGAATAGAGGGGACCCCGAGCTGGCCTTGGGTGTGAGAGGTCTGGACAGAGGGCTCTGAGTGCTGTTGGCTGGTGTGTCCCTCCTCGAGCCGGGAGGGCCCTGCCACACCCTCCACTTCCTCTTATTGTGCCTCCCTTCCTGTTAGCCAGACTGTTAGGCTGGGGACATTTTTCCTCCCTTAGAGGAACTGCCTGAATGGAGCTATTTCTCCTTGCGTCTCCCCCGACATCTGCCAAAACCCAACTCTGACCCACTGGTGGGCTCTCGTATCGACAGCGTTCCAGTCCTAGCCCACCCATTCAGCGGCGGACAAGGGCCAGGGTATCTCCTCTCTGGGCCTCAGTTTCCTCATTTGTAAAAAGGAGTGATAAGGCAGCTCTCGTGGGATTGTGAGGGTTTAATGAGATAGGGATGTCCGTGCTTCTGGCAAGCGTTGCTGTGGTTGTCACCCTGGTCCGGGCCTTGTTGCCGTGGGGGCTCTGAGGAGAGCCCGGGCCGCACGCTTGCTGGATGCCTGCAAGTCCAAACATCCTGTTCTTTTTTGAACTCCTTACTGGAGAAACAGGGAAAAGCTGTAGTTTTTTCCTTCCTCCCATATCGGGTGACACAAAAAACACAAACTTGTCTGGGTTAAGCTGTTTGACTCTCTGGTGTTTGGGAGCAAGTTCGAGCTGCTAAGCAGGGTGGCGGTTCTTTTCCTGGATTAGGGCTGATTCCGTGGGAACCGGACCACCCCTGAGACAGGAGGGCAGCCCTGATGCCTCCCCAGGGCCTGGGCCTGCAGCGGAGCCCCTTCCTCCTGGGGAGGGGGAGCCCTGGGCTCACGTCTTCCCCGCCCCTCCTGCCTCCTTCCCTGCAGGTGAACTTTCGCAGCCCCCGGAGCGGCCAGAGGTGCTGGGCCTCGCGGACCCAAGCGGAGAAGCGGCTGGTGGTGCTGGTGGCACTTCTGGCGGCAGCGCTGGTGGCCTGCTTGGCAGCGCTGGGCATCCAGTACCGGACAAGTAGGTGCCTCTGCGTCACGTGGTGGATTTGACTCACTCCTGCCCTGGGCTCTGTGCGCTTGGGCAAGGGGGGCTTCCCTGCCGAAGCCAGGACAGACCTCCAAGACTGGGGAGGGAGCTAGGCCCCGAGGGCTTGGGGTGCTGAGACGGGCCAAGGCATGGAAGCGGGTGCCAGGCGTGGTGTGAAGGTCGTGGAGTCAGAGGACTGGCGTCCACAGCCTGGCCCAGCAGCTTTCCCGCTGGGCCTCGGACAAGTCACTTACTCTCCCAGCGCCTGCGTCTTCTCTCCTTGAAATGGGGAAAGCAGTGCCCGGTCGAGAGATGGCCGTGAGGGTTAGAGATAATGTACATCACATACCTGGTGCCTCAGAGGGCTTCTGCGGCTTTGTCTCTGGGTACTGTTGTTGCCAGGACGTGGGCTGGTGAGACACACAGGCTGACACCATGTGCCACTTCTAGTTCCAATAGAATAGCAACGGTGGCCTCTGTCAATTGAATACTTTCCATGGACCAAATACCACATGTCTCCTTTATAGATGTGATCTCATGTCCTCCTCACGCAGCCCTAGGAGGTGCGGTTACTTTTGGCCCCATTTCCATATTAGGGAACTGAGGCACTGAGACTTGGTAGTGGGGGACTGAGCAGGGGGTTTGGGTGGGGAGCTGGGATTCTCCCACAGGCTGCTGCGCTCCAAGCCCAGGCTCTGCCTCCCTTTGCGGTCACGGTGCACTCCAGAATGTATCAGTGTCTCTGGAAAAGCTGCCCTTCTGTGGTCCTGGTACCCTTTGTGCACCTGTGTAAGTGCATTTATCTGTCCCCCCTTGTGTGGCGATGTGATTGGGCCCCTCTGACCCTGCTGTCAGGTCTGAGGCTGTTCTCTGTGTCTAGCCGAGTGCCGTGTGCAGAGTTAGCTCGGGAAGCAAGTACGGAACTGGAAAGGGCGGGTCCAAGTTAGAAACAGGGAAGGGGAGTCCAGCCAATCCCAGGGCCTCTCACCCCCAGTGCCCCAGCATCTGGCTTTCTGATGGCAGGTGATCCACCTGGTTGACCAGCCTCTAGGGGCTTTGCTCGGGGTCCCACCCACCGACTTGGTCACTTACCCCATCAGAGAGACGGTGAACTTCCGTGGGATCTGGGAACATCCACTCCAGGCTGTGTTGAGCCTTCTCTGCTGTGAAGTTGCTGGCCTGTGAGGGTGGCCGTGCTGCACTGGATGGAGAGGGGACATGGGGGCCTAGAGAGAAAGCAGGGACTTCATCTGAGTCATCATCACATGCCTCCTGTGTTAGGCACATGGGCGTTCATTCATTCCACGGACAAAGGTGGTGCTTAAGAAGTAATTGGTTTGTAGGTGTTTTACCAAATGTGCCTGGCCCAGCAGTACTTAATGCATGCTTGATTAATTAATTACTAGTTTCCAGACCCTTAACCAGATGTGCTTAGCAGAGTATGTGCATGCCATAGTGCACAGATAGTGAAATGAATAAATGAATGAGTGGATGAACAAAGGAGTAAGAAGGAGGGTCCAACGCGAAACGGGCTTTCTCTGCTGAGTGTGTGTAAGTGTGTGGTGGTGGTGGTGCAGGTGTGAGTTTGTATGTTGTGCACGTGCCTGCTCTACCAGTGGGGCACAAGCTGATCAGCCTCATCCTGCCGCTGCCATCTTCCCTCATCCTAAATCAGCTCCAGTTCAGAACACCCTGCCCGTCAGCGTGGCCCCTGGCCAGCCCCGGCTGCCCAGCTCTTGGCCCAGGGCAGGGGGAGCAGACCAGACTCCAGCAGCCAGTGGTGCCCTGAGACTGTCCCTAGGAGTTCCCAAGATGTTTCTTCACCAGGAACTAGAAAGGAACCCCCAAGGGACAGCTCCCAGTGTTGGGACCCACAACATTTCTGCTGTTATTGCCACGTGGGGCCCACGGGGAGGAATCCTGCTTCTGCCTCCGTTCCAGCCTCTCAGGGTCTCAGAAGGGTTTCCCCTAGCCAGGCCCCAGGGGAGGAACACTGTCCTTTTCCTGGGATGGAGCTGGTTGAGGATCAGGTGATCCCTGAGCCACCTGGGAAAGCAGTGGCCACCCCAGATATTGACAGTAACCTCACTGCTCAGCAGCAGGTGCTGGCTACGTCTGAGCGAACATCAGGCCAGTCAGAGCAAATCTGATGGTGATTCCTAAAGACCCACCTCCAGGTTGTATCTGGACACTGGTATTTTTGTCTACCTTCGTTTCCAGAAACACGCAGGTGCTTTGCAAACAGCAGCAGCAAAACAATAAATTTTCCCAGGAAATATTTTAAAGCATTTTACACGGTGTTGAGGCCAGGCACTGTCCTGATGAGCGTCCGTGAATTAGATCTGGGACCTGTTCCTGCCTTCCCATCTGATCATGCACGTCCTAAAGGGAAGAAACATTTGCTGCCTCCGCGGGTGATGACCAAGTGCTGGACAAAGCTCTTTCATTCATCCCTTCGGTCATTCATTCATTCAGAAAATGTGTGTTGAACAGCTGCTAGTTGCCAAGTACAATGCTAGACAAAGGAAAGATAAAAACACGTGAGATGCTGGCCCTGCCCTCAAGTTCACATCCTAGTGGGGGAGGTAGACAGGGAGACAGCAGGACGCGGCACAACCAGTGCTAGGATAGCAGGCACCCGGGCAGCCGAGGGGCCCAGAGAGGGAAGAGGGTCGGGGAGATTTCGCTAAGGAGCTGGAAACTTAGATGAGTGGGGCCTGGAAACCACTAATGAATTAATTAATAAAAAATGCATTAAGCACCTGTGGGCCAGGAACATTTGGTAAAGTTTCTACCAACTATTAAATAGTTAAATAATTAGTGAGGAACTCAAACCTCTAAGACTGACCTCTCGGAACTGGCCTCTTATTTTGTTTTGAAACCCAAGTTCCCTTATGATAATTACAAAAACCTTCATTAGTTCATCTCTCTCTCTCTCTCTCTAACACGCACACACACACACACACACACACACACACACACACACACACACACACACAGATTCTGATGTGTCTCACTCCCTTCAAATCACTCTCCTATAGTCTGTCTTCTGAGTATTTCTACCAGCCAAGATTTCGTTAAGTCTTACTTCCTGTGGTTTGGTGTATAAAAACAATAGGTATTCTTTTCCTTTCCCGAGTACGGAGTTATGTCATAATAGTGAACAGGTTTTTTTTAACCATACAGAAATCTCCTTCCTCACCCACCCCCCCATAAAGACTCTGGAACACCCCCTGAGTTGGGGAGCAGGGTGCATAGCTCTGATTAAGATGATCTGATTTAGAGATACTTAAAACGGCACCATCACCCCCACCATGTCCTTTATTTTCATGCATAATGGCGCCTTAATTTTTAATTGTTGTATAATTATCTCAACACAGTCACCCTAATCGTCCTGCTGTTGTGGGGCTCCTCTGAGCCCTTCTTCAGCCTGAAGGACTGTGTCATCAGATGTTAATCAGCCCACAAGTGAACCTCCCAGGACCACCCGGCCCTGCTGGCATTGTTGGTTCTGACTGAGGTGGAGACGCCCCTGCTGGCTGGAGGGTCCTTTCCTGCTCTCTAAAGACCAGCCTGGAGCACCGGACCCTGAGACTCGAGGAAGCTGAGCCCCAGCGCCCAGTCGTGAGAGCCCCGCGCCCAATTTCTCTGTGAAATTGGTCCTCCTGTTCTTCCTACTTTCCAGGTAGAGAAACCAAGGCTTGGATGAGGTCATGTGCACAAAGCCCCACAGGCAGGAGCAGAAAGCCGGGATTTAAACCCAGGTCCATCCACCTGCAAAGCTGCCGCCCTGTGCGGTGGGGACACCAATCTCGCCAGTCTGCTGCACCAGCCCCCGGCAAAGGGGCGGGGAGGGAGGGCAGGAGACGTAGCCTCAGTGGTGCCGGACCAGGACAGGCCTGGTTCAGCTGTCACCCCATCCTCCCCCGTGCAGCCCTGTCCCTCTCGCGCTCCCAGGGCCTCCGTTTCCTCATCTTTAAGCAGTGACATGTGGTGTCTGTGAGTGAGTGTTAAACGAGATCGTGAACGTGTGTGGAGCCGTGTTCAGCAAACAGTCCTGATTGTCACCGGCCCAGCTCGTGCCAACAGAAGATTGGCTGGGCCTGTGCTCCTCGGCCAGCTTCGTTTTGCCGCCTTGGGCTGCGCCACCGCAGAGGGCCGCAGAGGCTGCCCACCAGCTAGGGGCGGGGTCTGACCCCCTTCTCCTGCCTCCGGCAAACCAGTCTCTTGTTGAGTTTTTGGTTTTTTAAGGATTCAGTGAGGTAACTGAAGAGTCGTTCGCAGTTCCTCCTCCCATTCCTAACGGTCTTTCCTCCGTCCTGCGCCCTGGCACCGTGCTGTCTCCCATTTAGCACACAGTGAATGTTTAATCTGTGTTTGCAGAATGAATAACAGATATTTTTCCTACTGTTATCTTGACTTTTCTTACATTATGTATGTATCTCCAGCTGAATCATTAGCTCTTGAAGGAAAGGACTGTACCTTTTATATGCCCTATGTCCCCGCCCGCCAACACACACACACACAGGCTATGCTCAGCGAAGAACCCAGAAGATAGTAATTATTTTGCTCAATAAATGAATGTTCGAATGAATGAATAAATTTGTTGAGCATCAGGGAATAATAAAAAGACAGTGAATATTTGCAGAAGGAAAGGTTGATTAAGAGAAACACCTTAGTTTTAGGTATTTTTTATGCCGTAGACGGGATTTTAGACAGCTAAACAGAAGCCTTATTTATAAACCAGGTGGTTGTAAATCTACTGAAATCGTTTCTCTGTAGGGGCCTCGTGACCATCCAGTCCCAAATCTGCTTGGTCGGGCCTGGGGTGCGACATGTTAGCCCTGGGCCCCAGGCCACCTGCACTGCCCGCCCTTCACTGTCTTTCTGTCCCTGATCCTTCCAGGAACCCCCTCGGTGTGCCTGAGCGAGGCCTGCGTGTCAGTGACCAGCTCCATCCTGAGCTCCATGGACCCCACAGTGGACCCTTGCCAGGACTTCTTCAGCTACGCCTGTGGTGGCTGGATCAAGGCCAACCCTGTGCCTGACGGCCACTCACGCTGGGGCACCTTCAGCAACCTCTGGGAACACAATCAAGCCATCATTAAGCACCTCCTCGGTAAGCACCTGGTGGGAAGGGCAATGAGTGGGCCGCAGCGCGGAGCTGTCAGCTGGACCATCCCAGCCATGCCCGGTTAAAGGAGGAGCTTGGCAGAGGGGAAGACCATAGACTTTGGAGGAGGTGGAGCTGGGTTAGAATGTCTGCCCCTTCACTCATTGTATAATCCTGAGTAAGTCACTTATCTCTGAGCCTCAGTTTCTTCATCTGTAAAATGGAACTAGTACGACCCAAACTGCAAGTCATTTTTTTTTTTTTCTTTTTTTTGAGACAGAGTCTTGCTCAGTTGCCCGGGCTAGAGTGCCATGGTGTCAGCCTAGCTCACAGCAACCTCAAACTCCTGGGCTCAAG